TCAAAAGCTAGCAGAAGAAAGGCACAGCCCGTCTGGTTGTTTTTGTTTGTAGCCCAGGCTGGCTTGGAACCTGTGGTGACCCTCCTACTTCAGGCTCAGGAGCGCATCACCACACACAGCCTATTTTTTGTTTTTAAGATGGTTGGTGTAGGATGCTCTGCCTTAAAACATTCTTTGAAACTTCTAAATCTATTTCTCTATCTTAAGTTCAGATTTTTGCCCTTTGCTTTATCAATAAGGTTAGCTTTATGCGATTTGGTGTATGGGGGCTCCCTGAAAGAAAAATAAAATCTCATCTGTTTAAGAACAGACTTGTCCTTAATGGTATAAAATATTAACTTCATTTATTTATTTTTTTATTTATTTTCATTCTTGTACCTTCCTAGAGTATTGGAATTTAGGCATTGTATCCTTACACAAATTGTGTTTTTAGTCATTTACAGACATTAACTATTTAGTTTACTTTTCAGTATAGCTGCCTGTTATCCGCAGTTTAAAAAGATAAAATAAGAACCTAATAAAACAAATCCTCATTTCACACTTTAAACCTTATTGAGTCTAATTCACTGGCGCTGCAAGTTTATTATTCTCCTGCAGGTTGACGTGCCTCCAGTTGTAATTGTGTTGACCCTGAAATGCATTAAATCTCCCCAGTACTTATCAAACTGGGAGAGATAAGTCTACAACTCGCAACTTCATTAAATATCTCATTTATATTAAACACATGATAGCTTCGGACAGAAATAATAATTTGTTCCAAAGGAGGAACTGCAGCATTTGTGAGAATGTGCTGGCTAGGTTGAGGTGGGCTGGGCAGGCCAGGTGCTGCCCAAGCTGTGCTCCCAAGTGCCCACTCTGGCCAGCCCAAGGCTCTGGCACAGTTAGTCCAGGACCCCTGCCTTGGAGGACAGCTGTGTGGGCTATGGTTAAGTCCACTTGCTTCCCCTTGCAGTAGACCTGTTTCAGGACCTTCCTAACATAGATTTATTTCATTATCATTTCATTATGATTATTCTCTTATTGTGCCTGTGGTTTTTCTGAGACAGGGTCTTGATATTTAATCTGGGGAGCTTTGAATTCACTATATAGCCCAAGCTCGAATTATAAGCATGCTCCGTGACATCTGGCTTTTCTTCCTCCTACTTCTGTAAAGAGTCTATTCTAGGAATGCTACACATTGTTTTAATTAATGATCACAAAAGTTGGTTGTTCATTAGTACATTGTATGTTTATCACTCATAACTTCGTGTACTTTCTTTTTTTTTTTTTTTTAAGCTTTGAGCTTTTTTTAAATTTTATTTAAGGAGAAAAGAAAAAAAAAGCAGAGAAAGGGTACAAGTTATACAGATTTGCAGAAATCACTAGTTAATGGATTACATATTGTCATCTTAGAAATAATTGTTCAAGTCACAAAATTAAAGCTTGTAAAGTGGACATTCCATCAATGATACTGCAAACAGTTCTGTTCAATGATCCAATAAAACTCTGTGATATCATATTCTATCTTATACACTTAAATATACATGCAGTTATATAGTTTAGAGCACTTTCTTTTCCTCTCTTTTGTACAATGACTATTACACATTTTGGGTTTCATTGCTCTCACGGTTCTTATTACTTTTTTGGAAGAGAGTGAAACCAAATGTGACATAACAGAACAGAATCGGTCAAGGCAAAAGGGCGGACATAGTAGATAATGTGAAAACATAATACACGGTGATCAACAATGGTTACCATAATGCCTCCCGCTATCTCTAATAGAGTTGCCTATACCATTAGTTATAATACAATTGAACAAAACAGTAAAGAACAAAACCGACAAAACCAAACCATTGGAGACATTGTAGGTCTTCAAAAGTAGATAAAAGTCAACGAGAATGGGTGTTTTAATGAATCTCATTATCTTCACAGCTGATGCCTAAATTTTCGAACCTGATACTATCCAGCAAAACAGAATAGGGGAACATCAGTTAAAAACCAGATGGTGAGAGTAATATAGGGCTTTAAATCGAGGTAATGGAAAGTCAAAGTGGGTTACTATAATATATCCTGCTATTTTTTTCCTTTAATTAAAAGGATAAAAATTTTAAAAAAAGTATTAAAAAAGTAAATAATGGAGTGGAGATTGAGATAAAAGAGGGCATAACAACGAAACAGCACAGATCAAAACATAACCATTTAAGCAGAATAGTGTTTCTCCACCAGATAATCCTGACCTAAAAGTAGTTACCATATTGTCTCTTTTCTTGAAATCCTTGAGTACAACTTCGTATACTGTAGCATTAAGTATATCAAAACCATGTAAAACCATTTAAGAGAATGACAGCATTACAGAGTATTTAGAATCGACTAACAGAAAATGAATAATGGTTTCTGTATAATCTCCTTGTCTTTAAAAGGTTTTTGCTTATACTATCGTACATAATAAAATCCAGTAAGATACAACCTATTTAGACCATTGGAGACAGAAGGACAAAAGCTAGATGAGACTTCACAACAAGATGATACTAAATCAGTATTACCTATTAAGATGTCATTTTCTCCAAAATAGCTTTTCCTATCATCCAATCTTCTCTGTCTCATTTCTGTTGAGCTCTTATTCTGTCAGTAGCTGTCAGTTTGTCTTCTTCACTTTGTTCTCTGCTCCATTGGTTGTGGCCTCCACTATTTCTGGATTCTTTGTATTTTTCTTTTTTTAGAATATCCTGCAATACTCTCTGTAGAGTTGAATTGGTGGTTGCGAATTCCCCCAGTTCCTCTTTATCCTGGAAGCACCTTGTTTTTCCATCAATTTCCAGGGACAGTTGTTCAGGATATCTCAATCTTGGCTGGAGATTATTATCTTTCAAAGCTTGAATTATTTCCCCCCACGCTCTTCGTGATTTGATGGTTTGTGCAGAGAAATCTGCTGTAATTCTGATGGGTGCTCCCTTGTAAGTGGTCTGTTTCTTGTCTCTGACAGCTTTTAATATTCTGTTCTTGTATTGAATTTCTGGAATTTTTATTATTATATGCCTGGGTGTTGCTCTGTTTGGGTTGTAGGTAGCTGGGGTCCTGTATGCCTCATACATCTGAGTATCTTTACCTTTTGCTAAATTAGGAAAATTCTCCTGGATTATTTCTGTGAGTAGCTTTTGCAGTTCATTTGTTTGTGTCCCTACTTCTTCTTTTATGTTCTTAATCCTTAAGTTATGGATCCTCTTATCATCTTCTTGTCTTTGTATTATTGCTGTTTGTTTCTTTGTTATTTTTAAGAAGTTTTTCATTTCATTCTCCCATATTACAATTCTGCCCTCCAGTTCAGATAGTCTGTCCTTAGTTTCTTTCAAGCTGTTATGCCAGTCTTGGATAGACTTCTTAGTTTCTTGGTAGTCCCTTTGAACCTGCTTCACGTATTCTATGCTTTCCCTGTTTTCTCCATCAAACAATTCTCCCCTCTTTTTCTGTTCTTCCATTCCACCATCTGTTTTTTCTTGGGTGGGGCTTAGCATTTCTCTAACTATTTTGCATACTTCTAGCTTCAGGTCGTTGATAACTTCATTCCTGAATTGGTCTATGAGGCTCTCTATATGGTGCTTTATGTGTATTGGTGCGGTGTCCGCTATTGCCTGTTTCTCAGAATTGGGGGCCGAGGAGCCTTTCTTGTTGCTGCCTCTTCCCATATTCTCTGTTCCTTATATATGCAAGCTTATATGAGAGGCCCAGCTTCTCTCCCTGTCAGCCACAGCCTGATCGAATTGTGCCGGTTAGGTGTTCCCACTCACCGCTGCGCACCAGGCAGCCTACGCGGGGGCCCGCCCCTCCCGGCCTCCGTCAGGCTCTGGGATCTGGGTTGGGCCAGTCTGCGGGGTCCGCCGGCAGCGTCACGCAGGCCAGGCACTTTTCACCAATCCCGCCCGAGAGGGGGATGTGTCGCTGGAGTCACCACCGCGCCCTGCTCCCGCAGGACTGCTCGGGCCCAGAAAGTCCACTGGAGTCAAACTGTGGTGGAGTGTCAGTTTCTCTCACTCACCTCGCCACAAGTCAGAACATGCCTCCCTGCCCGTCCTGTTTTCGACTCCGTTTGCAGACTCCGGTTCTCAGAGTTTCCGCGAGTCTCTCTCCTTGCCGAGCCGATGTAGAGGCAGCCAGCCACCGCGCGGCGGGAAACCCAAATCGCGGCTTCCAATGGTGCAGGGTCCAGCCTCAGCAGCGAGACTTTTCTGTTCCTGTTTTAGCACCAGGACTGCATTCCAAGTTGGTTTCTCTCAGCCAAGTTCGTTCCTGAGTCAGCAGAGCATAACTCCACCTGCTTATGTCTCTTTAGTCCGCACCATACCTGGCTTCTGAGCCTAGTTTTTCAGAGAGCCTCCGGTAGTTGCTGTTATCTGTCTGCCATGTTCTCCCGGCTCGTGTACTTTCTTAATATTTGTTTGGTCCTTGCTCAGACCTGAGGGTTACAGTAAGTTGGTACAATCATTGTTGTGAATTTTTACCCAAAGAAATTCAGAGCCAGTGTATTGTTGGAGATACCTGAGTTGACAAGTAGAAGCCACATACATGCAATTGTTGTGCTCATTATTGGGCATAAGAAGCATTCTGTAGGCACAAAAATTATAGCCAAGCCCAGCTTCTGTTCTTATAAAACGTGCCTTCTACACAGTACCAACCAGTAAAGAATTCTAAATTAAACTATAACTTAAATGGATCTCAACAGATATGAACAGTCAAACAGAAAAAATCAGCAACAAGATGAGATTAAAAAGGGAGCTTTTAATATACATATTTTTCCTATGATGGTTGAAATCTGACAGTACTTCATGGGAGGCACAGTGTAAAGTGGCACAGAAAGTTGGTCATTAGGCACAGCTGTCATCACAAATTATTTTGGTACAGGGTGAAAAGTTCTAGTTCATTTGGTACCCAGTTGGATACAGGCCTTGGGCAAGTTGTTATAATTCCCCCATGCTGAGAATGGGCCTCGGGTACTCACTCTTCCCGCGCTCCCCCTTTCTTTTTAGCTGAGGTCACCTGGGAGCCCCCCTGGACCTGAGCTGCCCATCGAAACTGTGCTGGACGACAGGGAGCGAAGGATTTCTCATTCCCTCTATAGCGGGCTCGAGGGGCTCGACGAGTCTCCCACCAGAAACGCTGCACTCAGCAGGATAATGGGTGAGTCGGGTAGACTCTGTTTATCTTGTCTCATGTTTATGCCTTCACTGGTTCACAGAGAGGTTATGAATGTAATATTAATGTAAAAGAGGCCTGCATTTTCAAGAGGAAAGAACATGGGTTCGTTATAAACACTCAGGAAACATTAATGTGCAAAGAGGAAATCAATACATTGATTTTGGGGTGAGTTTTAGATCCCATAACACGTGGGAAGAACAAAAAAGAAAAGGATCCTAAAGAAATGTTTGTCAGTAATCAAGATATTCTTAGCTTGTCAGAGGTAAGTGAAGCTGTGTTTTTTAAACATCAAAATGTAATAGTTTATGGCGAGAAGAATTCATTAAGTGAAGTCAGTTGGTGGGCTGCTTGGAGGGTGAGGAGAAATGCGTATCTTCATACAGACGTGCATCTGCATGCAATGTTCCCACTTGGTTGGTTTGTACTTAGTGGGACTCACGTATGTCTTAATCACACTTGTAGTTTCTCGTGGCTTTAGTTTTCAATCCTGAAACCCATCTTCTCTAGCTTTGGTTCCACACCACACTGTCTGCGTGGCCCCCGGTGGGTGATGCGGTTATTAATGCTTGCTCCGCAGCCTCCTACTAACATATCCCGTTAATAAAGACTTGTCCAGCCACAGAAGTGGTTGGATTGTAAACAGTTGCTCATCTTGGAATTAGTTCGTGAGGTTTTTCAAATTTAAAACACAAGTTGCAGTTTAATAAAAATCACCTGACCTGAAACACTTGTATGACTTGTGTATTTCACAAGGCTCTCATTTATAGGAAAACCCTAAATTTAACTCTATTTTAAATACTAGTAGCAGAGGTTTAATATAATTCAAGTTTCCATTATGGTGCTTTATCGAAACAATAATGGATTTAATTCATCCATGATGCAAAGACTTCTAGTGGGTGGGCATTGTAGTGTGTACACACTTCTGCTGTAGACACGAAGATGAATAGGAAACAATTTCTGCCTTCAAAGAACTGGGCATGATAAAAAAATACATCACATGACTAGGACATTTTGCTTTCTTCTAATCCTAGCTTTCTCATTGGGAAAAACTACTAAATTCTCAATTTATTGCGCATAGAACTTGGACATGTGAACTCTCTGGTTTTACTCTGTCAGCATTTTCTTTCTACCTGCTTGGTGTAAGAGAAAGTCAGGGAAAGCTGCTTCGCCTGTTGGCTTGCATACCTGCTGGGGGGCAGGCTTGTTACATATCACTGTTAGTCATTGTTTGTCATTGTCTTGAATTCTGTTGGATTTTCCGTACCTTCTTGGTTTTGGTGTGAAGTTTGTTTGTGTTGGAATCTTTTCCACCGATGATATTTCAGACCCTTTGAGAGAGAAGAGTGTGTATGAGTGCATGGTGTCCCTAGATCTGCGTGCATACGAAGTGATACGCTGTAATCTCCCCTTTATTATAGGAACATAGGACTTGCCATACTGAATCAGACCATTGGTCCACCAGTTCCTGTAAGCTGCGTCCTGTCTCCAATCCCTGATGCTTCAGAGGAAGGCGAAAACCTAAAACTAAAAACAAACCAAAAAACCCTTCCAAGTTTTCACGTAGTGACTTGTTGATACGGGGTACATACGAGTTGAGGAGTTGTTGTCTCGGTGGTCTCTCACCAGATTTTGGTAGCTGGGGCTGTGTTAGGCCTCTTTGGTTTGTGTTCTAGTTACCACTATTCCCTTCTCCCCCTGCTAGGTAAAGGATGAACTCTTGCACTCCAGATGCCTCCCTGCAAAAGGAGCTCCCCCCCCCCCCATGCTTTATGAGGTAGTGTAGCTGTTCTTTTTCCCTTTTGGCTGAGGAACAAGGGTGACAGATTTATTACCATTTGATAACAGGCCAATAGATATTTTATGATTGGCTAAGATGGTTTTATTTATGTCACCCTGGGAACTATATATCCTATGTAGTTTTACCTTGAGAAATGGATATGCTTAATTTGACTGATCTTGCATTTTGCAAACTTGAGAACTGCCCATTCTGTGTCAGTCCTTATCCTGGAGTCACTGACTCTAAGAATCAACTGCTGTGTATGAAGTTAGTTAAAGCTTAAAGTTAGATGTCCAGTAAAAGATATTACCTTGCAACTAAATACCAAAACAGAATACCACATATAACATAGGAAAATGTCAAAGTTCTGTTAGCCTACATGAATAGTACCAGTATTTGTTGAAGTGTACAGTGTTCAGGTGCCTGAAAATTTCGCAGACATATCCTTGTTTAGTCCTTGTTTCTTTGTATGTTTAGAATCACTCCTGAGTAGATGGCCGTGGCTGTGGTGGTACTCAGTGTATGATCTGGTATGATAGAACAGGAACTCTGTGTTGAAATCCCCGGTGATTACATCAAGAAGCGATTAATTTTATATGACAGAGGCAAATTTTCACACAGATTACTCCCTGGGCCAAAGAGAATTTTTAGACCTTCTGTTTCATTTCTATGGGAACATGTCTCCAGAGAGAGGCTTCTAAAAAAAAAAAAACAAAAAACAAAAAAACCCACCAAAACAAGAACAGCCTTCTGCTTGGGAAGGAGGTCAGATGTTCATTGGACACACACTTTCTCATTTACCAAATAAAAGAGCGAAGTCCCAAGGCCGCATGTTGTGTTTTGCTTTTAGCTAGTTCCTATTTCTAGAAATAGCTCTCTCTGGGGAATGTCGAGGTTGTTTATTACATGTGAATGACGTTCATGAGATTCATTCTTTATTCACATCTATTAAAATTTTTCCATCCTTTAAGGAAGGGCATTTGATAATCTCAAGAATACATCCTAGGAGCTGGGGAATTAGCTCAGCGGCATAAGCGCCTGCCTTGCAAGCAGACAGTCGTGAGTTCGATCCCTGGTACCGATAAAAATAAAATAAAAAAGACAAAAAAAATTTTAAAAAAAAAGAATACATCCTGGCCAGACATAATGGTGCGTGCTTGTAATCTGGAGGCTGAGGCAGGAGGATGACTATGAATTGATGCCAAGATAGGCATAATGAGCACCAGGCCATCCTGGGTTACATGACAAAACCTTGTCTCAAAGAAACCAGGGAAGAGGAGAGTGAACATTTTCCATCCTGGCATCACTGTGATCTAAAAATTACAGTTCCTCTTTGAGATGACCTTAGAAACCATGTGCTCCATTCTGCTTCTATTTGTGGGACTTAGAGACCAAAGAAGTGAAATGCCTTGACCGAACCTGGCTATACTTTTTCTTTGTTTTTTAACCTAGCTGTGAGTGTATGGTTTTCTGGGTTTAAGTCCCATATTACTCAGACCTAACCTATCGCTTTGGCTCTGGGTGGCATAAACCTGAATTGTGGCCACAGGCAGGCTATCTCCAGATGTCATGTATTTTGACTGGATTTCCTCCGTTCTGAATTTTACATTCATCAAAATATTTCCAACTGTTAGACCGCTTTGTTTAACAAAGAAATCCTACTCACCGCTAATTTACCAACCTGTTCAATCCATAGACTCTATAGCGAGCTGATATTTGGGAGCACAGAACCTCAATGTTTTCCCCAACCTTTTATCTGAGCAATTTTTATTTAAAGCACAAACCAAAATCTGTTGTATTGGTTTCAGAAATTATCTCGGTGGTTTCTATATTAACATATTTTTGGTGAGTTTCAATAATGATTATGTTCAGAACATTTTCATCCTGTTAGAAATTTGACGTAGGAAAAGGAGCCATCGATGTTGTTTCCTTGTGAGTCCTAGCACTGGCCTGGTTTTCCTCCTTCCTTCTGTTTCCAGTATCATGAGTGATGTTGCATTCTCTGTCAATTTACCAATGAATAAATACCTAGTAAACAATCATTTTGTATCTCATTGTCTTACTGTATTGGCTGGTTTACGTCTTAGTTTATACATGTTGATTAACTAATTGAGGATAAAGGATATTTTGTCCATCAAAAATAGATTAAAGCCTTGTCCAACAATCCTTCAAGATTTCATACTTATCTATGTGCCAAATATAAGCAAATATAATTGAGAGATAATGACTTTATCTTGGTGACGCCTAGAAGAATGTATAGTTAGGTGGCTTTGTTGTTCATAACCCAGTTTATCCCTGGAGCTGTGTCCCAAAAAATATTTCTGGCAAGCATGCTAAGAAGTGGAAAATTGATGGAAAATATGAATAATTATGTCTTGTAGAGTATTATCCTACAGAATCACAGGTTGGAAAAAAAGTGCTAAATTCCTGTCTTCTTAGAGAGATCTCTTGCCATGGATATGGGTATAAAATTTTGGATAATTTAAAGTACAGTATTTCTACTCATAACAACATATTACAGAAAAAGGATTTATTGTATGAATTAATCAGTGTGCCTTTTTACTTGGTGGGCTTTTCCTCAGAATATATTATGTTAGAGCAAGAGCTTTTAGTTTCTTTGTTTAAAAATATGTGCACTATAATTATTCTGTGATTCTCCCATCAACAAAGCATACCAGGGTGAGGGTTTTATCAATGTTGTGACATGCTCCTATGTTTCATCACTGTGCAGTGTTTGCCAGTAGTAACCCTGGTTTTATAGCTTCATGGACAGTTTTAGAAGGCCAAAAGATATGTCTTGAGAGGGAATTATGTCTTCAGCCTACTGTGCTAGGAAATCCTAATTTATGAGTATAATTTGGTGACAAGGGTCCAAACTAATATTCTAAATATGAATAGAAAGGAATGAGTGATGGGAAATCAAGAAAGACAAATGATCGTGTGTTACGTTCGATTTGCATACATATCATGAGCATTCATGTAAAGCTTCTGGTTTTCCTACATTGTCAGAATGGTTCATTTGACATCAAAGTAGAAAGTTTTTCTAGAAAGGATGCCAGTGAATTTTCAGTGAGTATGTCCCCTTATTGTAACAGAGTAGGTGATGCTGAATAATTAATGCATTTGAACTTTCTGGCAAGTTTGCTTTTGTAGCCTGTCCTTGAAAGATATGTCATTATTGTTGCACTGAAACGTCTAGAAAAATATATTCTGTACTTAATAAAACCCTTCAAGCCTATGCGTGCCACCCCTGAAATTCTTGTTATGAACGTTTATTTTTAAATGTAGATCCAAGACTAATGTTAATCTTGCTATCCAAAGTGCTCTTGTGCAATTTTGAATCATAATTTACAAAAGAAGGAAAATGTGTCCTGTGTAAAATCACGGGTGCTGCTGGGAGAGCACCCCTGCCTTTTCCGGGGGTGGAACATGTGGAACTGATTTAACAGATCTGGAAACTGGACTTTCAGTGATTTTTCTATCCTGCTGTGAGGAGGACAGGACATGGTCAGGTCACCTTGCTCTGTTAGGAGTATGGGCTACTGGGCCGTGTCATGTCTTGGTGACATGGCTGTAAGTGTGGCCTCAAAGCATCAATACAGACCACGGACTTGACAGCTCATTTCCGCTCAGAAGACGCACGGCACAAGGTTTTGGAAGGAATCTGCAAGAACTGTACATGCCTTGAGGGGAAATGGGTCCTTATCTGGACCAGATCTTTAGGCATTCAACATCCTAAAACACCATTCTGTCCTTGGAAATGTCCTGGTACGTGAACAACCATCATGCTGACCTACGAACCTGAGCAGATTCCCTGTGAGAGACTGGACAGTAGTAGAGCCTTTCTTACCTGGAACACTGTCCTCACTGAATAAATCAGAATGTGGGGTCTCTTCAGTCATGGCCCCCAAAACATCTAGGACAATCAGATCCTATTTTTATTTTCTTTCACTTCAGGGTCACATCTGTCACCACCCCTCCCCTAGCCCATGATTCTGGGACTATCTTTGAAATGTCACCTAAATGCACAGTGGGCCTTTGTTCATCATACACTTAAAGGTGTTGTGCCTGTCCAATATGCCATCATTTCTTTGAGAGGAGATCATATTCATCATTTAGAACCTAACTCTGAACTGAATATCTGTTGAGGTTCCCATCGCTCAGGGTCTCCAGCTACCCAGGCCCAAGTTGGAGAGTTTTCAGCCAAGCTCTCACCCCACCATGTCGTTTTCACCCTGTCTGTACATCTCTATCTTTTCTACGAGGCTGTGAGCTGTTTGGGGACAGAGACTCATCTTGCTGATCCTGCCTGACATGTACTAGTTGCCCAATGAGTGCATGGATGAGTGAATGACATATGTATGTTGCTAGAGCTTGCCTCTAAATTTTCTGGTAAAAACTCGCAAAGAACTTTTGCAGCTTAGGATCTACAATTTAGAAGACGCTTTGGAGATCATCTTTGCCTTTAGGAAACCTCACATCAGACAAATTCCATACAGTTCCCTTAGCTACATAGCTCTCATATCAGAAGTAGTAATACACTCACAGTCTCTGATGATTATTTATAACAAAAAATGTGCTTAAATTCTACTCTGTTCTTGCGGGTTAAGGAGATGTGTGGAAGTTTAGATATTTTCTGCTACAGTCAAATATTAAAATTAATAGAATAGCAATAGATTGATGTCTAGAATGTTTCTTATTCTTCTTCCCACTGGACAGGTAAATACCAGCTGTCCCCCACCGTGAATATGCCCCACGATGACACTGTCATTATAGAGGATGACAGATTACCTGTGCTCCCTCCTCATCTCTCTGACCAGTCCTCTTCCAGCTCCCACGATGATGTGGGATTCGTGACAACAGATGCTGCTGCGTGGGCTAAGGTGGCAATCAGCGATTCAGCCGACTGGTAAGCACATCGTCCAGAGTTGGCAAACACTAGTTAATTGCAATCACCTTTTATTTTATGTTTTATGTGGCATAGCAGTGAGCACAATCAATTCTTTACAGCAATTTTTCATTTTCATTGCTTTTATTCTCTTAATTATCACTTTTAATAAATTATACCCCAGCCCTGTAAACCTGCTCAGTTGTCTTAGCCTTCAAGGGCTGTGGTTAACACGTTAGCCAAATCAACAACAAAACTACCATGCACCGGAAAACCCTGCTCATTCCTTTTTAAGTTTCACTCTTTATTATTTATTTTAAATCTCTGTTAATTGGATGAATTGTTATTCTAGTAAATAAATAAATCCAAAACAAATCCTCAAGTTGATTGCAACAATTTAGATGCAAAACTAATGGCTAATGTGGCTTGGGAATGGGAGGCGCCTTTATTAAGGTTTTCTTCTAGAATGTTACTACTTTTGAAAATGTTTTGTACTTCTAATGTATTGATTTGGGGAACAGTCTGGTTGCTATTTTTTTTCTGTGTCTTTCAAAATAGAAGACAACATCTGATATTATTGAGTCAATGTGTGACTTCCAAGTGTGAAGGTGCCTTAATCTACGTGCCTGGTAATTATGCACATTAGTAAGCTGAGGGAAAAACCCTTCTTAGACTGACCTTGCAAGGCTGAAGCAATTATCATTACAAACCATGTGAAGTATTAGACCAGCATTTTCTTATTGCCCTTTCTCTGGGGTCCTTTCCAAATATATCAGCAAAATCATATTTAAAAATGTTAAAGGTTCATTCTTTCTCTACTTATCCGTTGATACTTCCTACACTTTTCCTAACTTGTGTCAACATTAATTCACTGACATTCATTTGCATGAACATTTTAGTAACAATCTTAACAAAATTATTATTATATTATATTATTTGGCCCCCTCCCTATGCAAATTGGCAAAGATAGGGTGCACTTAGCTGTCATTCTGCAGGTGTTCTCAGAATGAGTTCACCTCTTCTTTGGGCCTTGAAAAGTTCATCTACAGCTTTTCTTTCTTTCTTCTTTAATTCTTTTTTTGAAAATACAGGATATAAAAATAGATCTGTGTTCAAGCCTGCATGATAATAGTTCAGCTTTGAATGATTTTTTCGGCTAAGTGTGGGGGGAGCTGTGACACCCAGGAAAACACCCTTTTTGAAATCCACAGATGTGAGTACACTGCTGTAGTTGGTTTCTTTTTCTGAAAGCGAGAGAAGCAACAGAGAAAGTGAGGTTTAGATCTACGCAGCATTCGTCTGACGCACAAAAGCTTTTGAGTCTCTACTGTGGCGAGAAGCTATGGGGCTTTCCGAGTTGGTGGAAAGAAATACCTCGCAGGGCTGGGGTGTGGCGTTCATTTCCCTTAGGGAGATTTACAGAAATGCCACGACTTGTGTGACTTCGGTGTGGCCAGTGGGGGTGAAGGAGGGAACAAGAGCACAGGGTTATCCAAACAAGCACCACAGCTGTCCTGCATCACAGTGAGTGAGTAAGCTCCCCAGTCTGACAGTATCTCCCTCATCTTTGATGGAAATGTTAGGAAAACAAAAGGCCAATAAGACAGGATTAATAACTGGAATTTTAATAACGTTGGTGGTCAGGATATGGTTACATTCTCTAAAGAATCAGCTCTCAGTCTGCTGTCTAACCTGTTTAATATCCTAATATATTGTTTGTTGTGTCTGAAATTGCTTTTTAAATGGGAATATTGATAGGGAAGAATTAATTATAGGGTAGTTTAAGAATTTTTAGTTATTTTAAGACACTTATTAGCTCTGCAACTCATTTAACATTTTCAGTTGTATCTGTTTACAGTTCACTGCATAATTGAGAAAGGCTAAATATGTCACTTGGCTAAACTTCTAATTTGTTAATAGTGGAATGTACTTTATTTTCAATCTATTAGTTGATTTAGGGAACATTAACAGTAGTTGTTTTTTTTTTTTTTTTTTTTTTTGGTGTGTGTATATCAGCAAGTTCTAACTTTAATGGCAGCCTAAGTTCAGAAGATATAAAATTAGTTTCAGAATATGCCAAATGGGGTTTTTAGGCAGTGATGCTTTATATTTCTTTGAAAAATGTTCGCTAGTGATTTCTGTGAAAGCTGTATTTCACATTCATTCTGTCCACAATCTCGATGCCTTCCTGTAGATCAGACTTTAAAATTTACGTGACACCAAAATTAAAAAAAAAAATTGATAAGCAGAATGATTGAAGACAGCCACATGCACAGTGTCATTTGCTTGTAATCTTGGTACTTGGAGAGACTGAGGCAGGAGAAATCCTAGCTTGGTCAATTTAGCAAGACCTGTGTGTCAAAATTTAAAGTGTTTTGTTTTGTTTTGTTTTTTAAAGGCTGGAGATGTAGCTTAGTGTGAAGACCCTGTGTTCATTCCCTACTACCAAAACAAGAAAACAAAGAATTACTGCTGTTGGGCGTATGTTATAGTTTGGTGCTGTAGAATCAGGCCTTAGTTTTCATGGCATGGGTTTGAATTTTCCTACTTTAAAAGTGTTTCTGGACATGCTGTAGAAATCAAATGCCGTCTGCACCAAAGCATTGACTGCAACATGCAAAATGGGCACCTGGAAATGCAGGACAAACCTGGCCTGCTCCTTCATGGGACATTGTATCTATTGAAAATTGTGGAGAAGAAATAACGATATTTAAAATGAAAAGATTTAAAATGAAACACAAATAAATTGACACTAAAATAGAACGTTATGTTTTCTAAAAATATAAAACAAAATTATTTTGGCCTTAGACTGAATTCCCAGCCGCTGTGCAACTGGTCTTCCCTGCGTGTGTTCCTCAGCCAGGCCTGGGATGACCCTCAGGAGGCTCTGGAGGCTGCACCCAGGGAGTTGGCCCTGTCATCCTGTGACCTCGAGAGAGGATGCTTCCTTAAAGTCTGAGCCTTGTGCACCTGTCACACTTCACTCTTGGGCCCTACCCTGCTTGTGGGAAAGACTGAGGAGGACTGTCCACTGCCTTTGTGTGATTCTGAGGACGCTGTGGTTTGCCTTACTTTGATAAGAAGAAGTAGACAGTTGCCATCTGGTAGTATCTTACTTCACTGTGTGGTGTAAGGTTTATGCAGGCCTCCCATCTTACCTCCTTGAATTCGCCCATGAGCTCTGAAAGATGGGTCAGGTAGCTGTTCTCTTTGCAGAGCGCGTGGAGGTATATAGACTCCAAGCAGCTCATGCACCTTATCCCCAGGCCAGAGGTTTCTAATTGGGCCCCGCTTTTTGTAACCTTTGGCTTAGCTCTTCTGAGACCCAGTTATCATTTCCTGCTAGTGAATTGCAGCTGAAGTTTTACTCTTTTTTACTTCTGGGGAATTGAATCCAGGCATTCTCTACCACTAGATATATCCCCTCAGCTTCATATGTTCCAACTTGAGACAGGATCTCTTAACTTGCCCAGATAGGACTCAAACTTGTGATCCTTTTTGGCACAGCCTCTGAAATGCTGGCAGGCTTTAGCTAAATTTTTGCCATATATGCCAAACTGATCACTGTCTTTTTAAATAACATAAATGACATTATTCTTGAGAAGCTTGCTTCCATCAGAAACATCTGGCAGTCTGTCATCAACTCAGCTGAATGGAAGAGGCCCCTGCATACCCTCAGTGTTTGTGCAGGCTGTGAAGGGCTGGTTTCCTACCTGTCTGTTAGGTAAGGTGGCTCCACCCTGATAGCAGAGAGATGGAGAATTGATTTACCCAATGCATCCAGCAGTGGAAAAAAACGTGATCATAACATGAACTGTGCTTAGAGCACTGGTAGCAAAATGTTTACAGAGTTTTACAGAATGAGTGATTCTCCATCATCTCCAAGCATAAATTATATACTCCACATCCATTGGACATTGTGACACCATCCTGTCACCATCGGCCAAATGCTTCCTTGTCATCTTCAATCGGCCACTGTATTGGTGCCACCCAAATCAAATGCTGTCTAAATTTAGTTCTGTTCTTTGTGACTTGCTTATATGCTGCTAATTCTCTGATCTGTGCATCTGTAGCATCTATTTCAGACTTTTCATTGGTATTTTCTTTGTGAGCTTGTAGAGCTTAAGGATTTTTTCTTTTTTATTATTTTGACTTTGGTCTACTATAACTCTTTACCCTTAATCAGAATAGGTTCCCAGGCAGATTGGTCAAGTTGAGTTCTTTTCAGTTGATTAATTATTTCAGATCCTCATGAAGGTGTTTTGTTTGTTTGTTTTGGTTTGGTTTGTTTCCTTTTCTGAAATACAAGGCACAGATGTGTAAGAGAGCCAGGGTACTTGGTTTTTGAAACTGGTGTCCAGCTGTGATATAAGTGATCAGTTACTTGCTTCTAGTATATGTATATAATTTATGCCTGGTTTCCTCAAATATTCAGTGCTTCTAAAGTGTGGCAAATAACAGACTCATTTTTTCATTTATTTACTTGTTTATTTTTCCAGTGCTGGGGGTCAAATCCAGGGTCTTGAGAATGCTAACACAGTGCTTTACCTCTGACTGAGTCCCCAGCTCTGGATTTGTGACCGTCACTTACAAATAATGTTTCATCAAAAGGAGTGAGGAGACTAAGGGAGGGAAGAAGGGAAACAAAAAACTCACTTGTAGAGAGTGTTGCTCTGAATGTTAAATTAATTTTTGGTTTAAAGAAAAATAATCTGCATCTATTATTTAATTTAAAATTTTTTTGAAGAATACATATGGATGCATATGCTCACAGAGTATTATAACTTTTCTAAATTGGGTGTCTACTTTCTTAGTAAATGCTGTACATTTGTCTTTCTCTTATCACCAGCTCTTTGAGTCCTGACGTGGATCCAGTTCTAGCGTTTCAGCGGGAAGGATTTGGACGCCAGAGTATGTCAGAAAAACGCACAAAGCAGTTTTCAGATGCCAGTCAATTGGATTTCGTTAAAACACGAAAATCAAAAAGCATGGATTTAGGTAGTGAGTACAATCTCCATGAATCTTTATCTAAATAAGGTTTAGATGCTTTTAGGATAAAATTGATGGTCCCAAACACATGTGTGTTTGTGTTGAGCACTAGAGGAAATAAATGTGAAATGTAACAATTTGGCAAATTAGTTTTTCTCTGAGTTTGAGATAACTATATTACTCCTACGTGGCATGTTTACAGAATATGCAATATGTTAATCTGTTTTCTTATGAGAAAAGAAACAAACACATGTGAATATCATGCTATATTCATGTATCTTTATTTTATAGCCTGAAATGTTATATGCTATGTAAAAAGCATTTCATTGGAATTGCATTTGATTTACTCTGGGATTTTTGAACTAGAAGGCAAAGTTTTGGAGAGAAATCATTATCTCAATCCATGTCTAGAATTTGGTTTATGATACCTTTCTTTCATTGCTGTTCTTTAAGGTTTGTTTATCAGAACCTCTGTTTTTATAACTAAAGCACTTAATAAAATTAATAGTCTGACAGATATTTACCATAGAAACTATTTGGGAACAAATGAGAGGAGGAAAATAATCACAATTTTTCAATCAGACATCAATCAGGTAGTGTCTCTCTAAATCCAGATCCACCCAAAAGAAAAAAGTAAAATAATTAATTGTATCTGTAAACTGATTTTTTAAAACACTTTGTTAATCAACTGTAACTTATGCTGTTCTGTGGTGGCTGTTTGTAATTGAAGACTAAAAGCATTAATTTGTCATAGGCACATAAGAAAATGTGGTGATGCCTCGCCTTGGCTAATTATGATATGCTAACATACAAATAACACACATGTCTGTGAAATGAAATGACTGGCATATTGCATGGAGGCACTGCTTTTTTTCCCTCTCCTTTTATTTTTGATTATGGATGTTTGCTCGATATTTTGCATTATTTGCATGACATAGTATCTAAGGATTGTCACCTAACTGTAAAGATCTGGGAATGATTGAAGCATGTCGGGCCGGGGAACTAACTGGGCTAACCATTATACATTTACCTTTTAACAGTAGCTGACGAGACTAAACTCAATACAGTGGATGACCAGAAAGCAGGTAAGAATGGACAGTGGAGACTGTTGCCATAGAAACTGTGGTCCAAGAAGCTTATCACAATTACAGAGCTGCCAATCATATTGCATGTAAACATAAGTATTCTAGTCTTGCACAGATGTTTTCATTGTGCAAAATCAAATTGTACAAGAGAAGAAAAATTTTCTATTAGGAAAAATTTATCAGTAGTATATTCTAAATGGAAACACAATATAATGCACCACAAAAGTTAAAAACTGCTTTTGTTTTCTTAATTATACTTGTATAGGAATATTTTTGTCACTTAAAAAAGAAAGCACAATCCTGGAAACATGATCTCTTATTGTAGACCAGTGATGGTAAATCATTTAGAGACCAAATGCTACCCAGTACCCACTTATTCATCACAAAGTGCCAGTGCTGTATTAAATCTGATACTGAGATTTTAATTTAGAAAACAACTCACACATTAATATACACTGTCTTAAAGACAACCTGTTTGCCATGGACCCAGAACACTGTTAGGCTATTCAGGTGTTAATCAATCCACTAATGTGTAGTTTATATCTAGTTCTCAAAGTGGTAATTGTGATCTGAAAGATCAGATTGCCAATGTAAACATTTCCATGAGGATATCCAGTACCGCTGCCTAGGTCACTGAGAAAACCTTGGTTCTTTTTTAAATGCTATAATTCACTCAAATTGAACCTGAAATTGGATTAATGTATATGACTGCCATATGTTTATTTTTGAACCTTTAAAAAAGTCATTGCTTTTAAAATATTGGTAAATCATTGCACAGAAACAGTGCATTGGTTTGAACTGGGTTTCACACCATAGTGAATTTTATTTTTTATGTTACTCTGTGATTAATTGAAGGAGAGTCTTTACATATAGTTTAAGTAATATGTTTTGTACAATTGAACATTGTGATTTATTCTTGTAAGTTTAGAATTGTTGTACTTATTATAGATCCAGATAATATATTACTTAGCACCAATTAGCTTTCATTGACTGCTTTAACTTGTAATAGTAATTAGTTTTAGCCTGCTTGAAAAAGTGTGTACACCCCCATACATATTTAAAGATTATTGTGGACTTGGTTAAGGTTAGCGTGTTCTGTAGAGTAAAAGATAGATTATAAAAATTAAATCCAATAAATCATGAGATTAACTGTGTTGCAAAATCATCAGCTATAGCCTTGGCCCATACTGAGTAGTTATTTGTCTTATCAAACATACAATTCACTGAAATTCTGAAGGAGTAATAAAGAAGGAAATCACTTGATTGCTTACATATATAAAGTAGGAAATTGTTTTTGAAATTAATAGTAGTGTTTTTAAAGAAACAACTCCTGTCTTAATCATTTTAATAGCTAAGTTGAACTGCTTATGTTAAAGGACATGGCTGGTGGGCCGGGGATTTAGCTCAGTGGCGCAAGTGCCTGCCTTGCAAGCATGTGGTTATGAGTTTGTTCCCCGGTACCAGGACATGGCACGTCTATTAAGCCAAACAAAGGGCAGTGCTTCATGTAATCAGCTCAACGCTGCAACAAGAAAAAGAACAACTTCATGTAAGTTAAAAAATAATGGCATCCAGTCTTTAACTGAATTATATAACTTGCATGGCAAATAAGCAGGTTTGATAATCAAATCAGACCACATATTTTTCTGTTTTAAAATGTTAGACCAGGGCTGGGGATTTAGCTCAGTGGCATAAGCACCTGCCTTGCAAGCAGGCAGTCGTGAGTTCGATCCCTGGTACCGATAAAAAGGAAAAAGACAAAAAAAAAAAAAAAAAAAAGTTATACCTTACATATAAAACATATATTTTGGCAATCTATGCTACCAAATTAAATTGGAAAATCTTGGGACAAAAAAATTATTACATAGAAAAACATCTATACCAGGTGTTTTTGGCACTCAAAAAGTTTGCTGGTTTTAAAATCTATATTAATAAAATATCTGAAATAGATTCTCACCACCCAATATTAGACATTGATCATATTTTCAGTTATTTTTCTTTCTTGGTATTACTTGAATTTTCAGAGTTATCATGATTTTACAGTTTAGTCCCAGGCTTGTTTGGACAAGTCATAGCTACGTTTTAGCATATTTACTTGTCTTGATAACAAACTGTCATGATGAAAATCATGTCTGATTTCTCTTTGCCCCTTGCTGAAGATGTCTTGCCCTGTATGTTTGTGTCTTTGCTTTGGTAAGAGGGCAGTAAGAGGTAAGGAAGAAAAAATACAGATCTTAGGCCTGGGACTGTGGCTCAGTGCGAGGCCCTGGGCTTGATCCCCAGCACCACAAACTAACAAAATCAGACCTTAGGGAAGGGGTATGATTGTGATTTACTTCTTACTCCCAGGTTTAGGGATCTTAAATTTCTGGGGAAAAAAGAAGACAGAAAGAGAATTGAGTTTTTAATAGTTATTCCTCAAAATACAAAGAAGTAACCAAGGTATACTCAAAGTCTCAAAAGTTTGTGTAAGAGTTTTGCAGTATTGATTTAAAGTGAAAGTAAAAGATACTGATCTGGAGACTGAGGCGGAAGATTGTTACAAGCTTGAGACCAGCCTGAGCTACCAAATGAGCTCAAGGTCAGCCTGAACTGCATAGCGAGACCCTGTCTCGCAAAGACAACCCCCACAAACTGATTTTTTTTTGGTACAGATTAAACTAAATTAGCTGTTGCTCATTTTGTTTATAGAAAAAGACATTTCCAGTTTTTATTACTAGTAAAGGTTGGTAATTGTCAATGGTGGGTGTTGGGTTCATTTTCCTAAAATGTTACAGTGCACTGTTATGAATTTAGGGAAAACAGGTAAAGCTCTGAATAAAACTAATTTTTGCAGGGTGAGGGAAGTGTAAGTATTTACCTCAGGCCTTATGCAGCCTTTACCAGATTTGCCTGTTTACACTGAGGGCTGCTCAGTTTTACCAAACACTCATGCCGTTTCTGAACTTCATTGTGAAAGATTTTGTTGTTCTAAGTACATTCAGTAAAATCTCAATAAAAACTTAGTAAAAAAGCTTAATATGTGTAATAAATGGTATTTTTTACCATATTTCATGTGAACATGAAATCTTAATTGGAGATACATACATTCATATATATATATATATATATACACACACACACACACACACACACACACACACATAGACACACACATAAATACACACATTCATACATATCCCTGGCAAATCCAAGAAAATACCAATATTTACCTAATACATGTTTTATAGAACTCAAATACAGCTGGTAAATTATGAAAGCTGAAATCATAGTTTATTCAGAAAGGATTTTCTCAATGCTGATTTCAGGGAATGTAAAGGTAAATATCCCTCCTTAGGAATATTCTTTCTTATTCCTTAATTTTTTACCTTTCATCTAGTTCTTTAGAAAAAAATCATTTTTGCCTGTAATAATACGTTTTCTGAGACATTTGAAAAATATACCTGTCAAACATCATAATGCCATGAAGACGGGAAGTGAATATTCTTGACAGAAATATCCCACGTGAACTTTTGTCCTAAAACAAACAGTGAAATATGTACAGACCTCCATCAAGGACCTTAGCTGCACCCTCATTTCTCCTGAACACAATCAGCTATGGAACAGTAATTTATCATTAGCATCCGACGTCTGCCATTCTGCCTATATTGTGACATACATGTTCTTTCTTAAATCTAGCTCCCCATTACGAAAATTAGGTGAAAGAGAGCCAAGGCTGTGACTCAAAGACACAGCGCCTGCCTGGCAAGCGCAAGGTCATGAGTTTAATTCCTGGTAAAAAAAAATTAGGTGGAAGTTGTAGCATAAGTGAATCTTAAAAAGACAACTCTTGTTTTGACTCTGGATTTAATTTTCTTTCTTTCTTTTTTTTTTTTAAAATTTGTTTTTTGTCTTTTTCTTTTTTATCAGTACCAGGGATCGAACTTGCGACTGCCTGCTTGCAAGGCAGGCGCTTATGCCGCTGAGCTAAATCCCCAGCCCCATGGATTTAATTTTCATTTCATTTTCTGCTTGCAGCTATGAAAAGCCCATGACACAACTATTTCCCTTTTAGGTACTAACATGACACGGCTACTGCTTAATTATTGATCAACATATGGGCTGATGGCCCCATGCAGAGATAAACTATTTAGTTTTTCTAACTTCCCATTCTTTCTCATCTGTCTCTTTAGTGGGGTAAGTGAGACGCCAGGGCCTTAGCCTGGCTTGCCCAGGTGGTGGTGCCGAGCTGGCCTTTCTGCTGTGGAAGACTAAATTAGTGAGTTTTGAGTGCCAGGTCAGGAGTGATGGATGAGGCTGTCTTTCTTGGTTACAGAAATCAGTTTTGATTGCCTTTTGAACTCGGTGCTATTGGTATTATCTCAGGCCTTTCTGCCCTGGATCTTCAAGGAATAGAGCCACATTTTGAATTCACTGAGGTTTCCCTTGCTGTCCTGCAGAATTTTTCTCAGTAATTGCTAAGTCTTCTGCCCCTCACCTGTTTTTCAGACGGGTATTATTCCAGGCCCAGAGCTGTGAGGGCTCGCATTGAGCCTGTTCAACATGCTAGTATTTCTGGGACAGGGCTCACAGGTTCTTGGTTCCATTCAAATTTTGTAGTGCTTTTTCCATGGAGGGCATCTTTCTTGGAATTAGGTTTCTGACTGGAGCTGGGTTGTCCTAATTGCACTGGTGACCAACAGCCCTTGTGCACTGATTACACAGGGTTGCGGGTCTGCAGATGTCCCAAGAAAGAGATGCACGGAAGTTCATTGTTTTTAGTAAAGTTTATTTTAAAAGTGTCTCAGTGTCCATGTCAGGCTTTTGCCGTAAAATATTTGACACAGCCAGAAAATGGTTTTGGTTAAGTGGAAAAGTGTACTATGGCTTGTTTATTCTTGCCTTCGTTGCATCTCTGTGTATGCAGTGAGATTCTTGGTTATTCGGATTCTATTGGATTATTTGTATTACCTGGAGGAAAATGATTTGATAGAAAATTTTCATCTATTGAGTTAAAAAGGAAACTACAACTTAAGAGTTTTCCTAATGGAACTAGAGAGACAGAGTCTAATATAAATTTCGGAAGAATAAAAATTAGTAATGATTATTTGTTCTTTATATATTTCCCATGCACACTTCAACACGCATCATGAGGAAATAGCTTATGTCCCTGACCACGCGTAGACACTCAGGTATGTAATTTCCACTTTCCTCTCACTAATGTTTTCATCATTTTTATTTTAAACTCCAAGGTTCCCCCAGCAGAGATGTGGGACCCTCCCTGGGTTTGAAGAAGTCAAGTTCCCTAGAGAGTCTGCAGACTGCAGTTGCCGAGGTGACGCTGAATGGGGACATCCCCTTCCATCGCCCGCGACCACGGATCATCAGAGGAAGAGGTTGCAATGAGAGCTTCCGTGCTGCCATTGACAAGTCCTATGATAAGCCTGTGATGGATGACGACGATGAAGGCATGGAGACTTGTAAGTCTGTGACGCTGGAAGGGCACCGATGACCCATGCTTATGTAGACATGTTGTTCTTAAAGTGTGTGCCAGGGAACCCTGTGGAGTTCCCAGCGTTGTTCTGGTAGATCTGTGAGATCCAAAGTGTTTTCATAAGAAGATATGATTTGCCCTTTTCCTCCTATTCTTTCATATATATATATATATTTTCTAGAGGGTACATGCTGTGTGATATTCCATTAGGCTGAATGCAGAAGCAGAAGCTGTGAGAATCTATCTTTTCAGCAAGTACTAAAGTAAGCATTTTTTTTTTTTTTTTTTGTCTTTTTTGTTTTTATCGGTACCAGGGATGGAACTCACGACTGCCTGCTTGCAAGGCAGGTGCTTATGCCGCTGAGCTAAATCCCCAGCCCGTAAGCATCTTTTTTTAAAAAGTAAAGTATTTTCCAAGAATATGTTGTTCTCACAACATATTCTTGGAAAATATAGGTTTATTTTAAATGAAACTAATTTATGTAACTATGAAATTTGTTTCTTAGTTATATTTTAAAATTTTATCAGTTTTAATTCATTATATATTGATAGATATAATCCATATTCCAAAATGGTATTTAGAGGCCAAAATGTTTGAAAACCACTGCTATATAATGTTTGTAAGGTGATGTAAACAATGAATACATGTGATAATTTATGATCTTAAAGATGTAATTTTTTTGTTGTATTTTAGAAGTTACTCCATTTCTTTGAACTAAATAAGTACGATATATTTGTCCATGTGTTATCTTCAGATTACAAAATATTTAAATATTTCCTTCCTTCCTTCCTTCCTTCCTTCCTTCCTTCCTTCCTTCCTTCCATAGTACTAGAGGCTAAGCTCTGGGACTTTGCACTGAGGTACACCCCCAGTTCCACACCTCCTTTTTAAAGCAATTTGAGATAGTGTCTGATTGAATGACTAAATTATAGAGGCTGGGTGACCTTGAATTTGTAATCTTCCTGCCTTAATCTCCCAGAATGCTGGGATTAAAGTCAGGATTATAGCCATGTGCCACACACCTAGGTCAGATGACAAAATATTTCAGCCCAAGATGATTCAAAGTCAAGGGTAAATATGAGTGAACAATATATATATATATATATATATATATATATATATATTTAATTTTTAAAAAATCTCCTCTCTCTGAACAATATGTATTTCTATGGTCCAGTGAGGGAAAAAAAGTAACATTTATAAACAGGTACAAATATATGCTTCAGGGGAATTATCTTCAGAGCTAAACATTTTATAAAACTAGGCATTCTACTTTTAAAAATGGAAAAACACTAATATATTTACTTTGATGAGAAATGATTTAGGAATCCTAATGGTAAGAACTATTAACATATATTACTCAAAACTACTAATTTCTATTTTAATTTTTAACCTCTAATTGTGACACCAGCTACCTGTTTCTTATAAGAAAAGTCAAAGATCCCTGTGGCTCAAAGTTCATGCACAAACTAGAAATAATTATACGTGGATGGTAAATTACTTGCATTTTAACATTTTGGAGAGATTATGTATGTCACACATACACCAGAAGCATTGTGGTGTGGAAGAAGAATTTTAAGTAAAAAGAATACATTTGGAGATGTAAGACCAGATTATATAATTTCTGCCTGTAACCTGAATGTGTTCAGGAACATGAATACTTTGGCCATAAAATAATATACAAAACACAACCTAGGGAGAGGGCTGCTAGGTTCCTCCTCACCAGTTTTCTCCAACTAAATTGGGACAATTTTTTCATTATAATGAGCTGGTGATGTCAAATATATGCAGCATATTCTTGCCAGAATAAAACATATTTCCTATTTTAGCTGCCAAGCCCAGTCTCCAAGATCCTGAGTCATATGAGCTTTTGGCCCTGTTATGTTTTCTCCCATCATAATAGTGGTTCTTTGCCATGCTAACTAATTTATTTGACAACTGATAGATTTTATTTCTGTGTCCTGGTTGTATAATTAATAAAAAAGTATAGTTGTTTGTTTCATCACATTATTTTTAAGCATCTATAATTTATGATGCTCCTGAACATTTGTCTTATTCTGCTGAAAGTGTTCTTAAATCCCTGTATAAATTTCAGTTTATTCATGTAATGTGTCACTCATTTCAAATGCAACAGGACATGGAATATGTATGAGTAGAAGGTACGTTCTTGTATTGGCCTCGTGATACTGTAACCAAATATCAGAGGCAGTGAATTGCTAAACAGGAAGAGTTACTCAGTTCATGGTTCTGGAATTCCAGTCCCACATGGGTCAGCCAGATTGCTGTGAGCCTCTGGTAAGGGTACTGGGTGGTAGGGGAAAGAGGTGTGTAGTAGGGCAGACTGCACATATCATGAGCCAAAAAGCAGAAAGAACCAGGTGTTGTAGGGATGGTTGTAATTGCAGCTCTGGGAAAGGCTGAGGTAGGAAGACTATTGCAATTTTGAGACCAGCCTCAAACTGTGAGAACCTGTCTCAAAAAAAAGGGTTGGGGTGGGGGCAGCTATAGTTTTCTGAGTTCTGTTTTGAATATTAATTCTCAGACCAGGTGCTGAGCTTTGGCGCTAACAGGAAATGACTGTTGTAAGCATCCAGGGCTTGCAGAGCAGTGGTCTGGATTGTTCTTGGAGGTGGAAGAGTCCTGAGGGGTGTTACCTGGAAGACTCCCATGCTGATCCAGTTTGGGAGGAACTAAAACCCCTTGAGCTTTGATTTCCTCATTTGTAAAACTGAAGATGTGGACATACATAACATTGATATTCAAATTGCATTTGACCTCTGGTCAGGAGAGGGGTCTCCCACTTCACCCCTTTCTTACTGTCTGCTCCTCCGTTCCCATAGTTCCTATGTGAATCACTTTATGATGCTGGATTTTGCAGATTTTAGATTTTAAAATGGTTTGCTACTTTTGAGAGAATGTTTAACAAGCTCTGGCTTAGATGGTATAGATGAGTTTTGAGGTCCCACGGTGTTTTACCACCCTGCTGACATTATAGCCCAGTGGTGGTGACCCTCTAGCACACATGTCACTGAGGACTGTGTTTGTCACTGAAAGGTTCACCATCACTGGCTTAGCTGGTCACCATCCTGCCTGCTGTCCTTTCCCCTACCTTCTTTGAGACCCATGAAGGACACCCCTCTGTCTGTTCTGGTCCTCCATCACCAAGCATGGGGCTTGAAAATCACAGGGTTCCATGAGTGTCAGATCAGTTAGTGGATGACTGTTGCCAGTGTGCAGAAAGGTTGGGGACAGAGGGACTTCCAGTGTGAGGTGCAGGATGACAGGGACATTTAACTGGATCTGTGGCATCTCATCTACAGCTGGCATATACTAATGATGCCAGCAAGCTCTTTGTTTTGCTGAGGAAAAAAAAAAATCAATCAAGGGTGGCTTCACCACTGGTGGCCACAAGCCTGTCACATTTTCATCTGGAAAAAGTGAAAGGCTTGTCAGGCCTGCATTTGTGAGTGGCTTGTCCTCCCTCATCTGTGCCCTGTGAGTCTGGGGGCAGAGAATCCTTTCTTTTCTAGTAGATGGCTTGGTTCCAGCCACCTGATGTGGTGTCATCACCGAGCACTGCTCTGATAGGGGGACTCTCATCCTAGCAGACAGGATGTCCCACAGTTTGTTGTGCCCTCTGCCAGTGCAGGGTGGGGCGACGGCTGTAAGCGACTGTCAGAGGGATGGAGGATGGTTGGCTGAACTCTCTTTCGTTTTCCCCTCTCCATGGCCCACTCCTCTTTCCACGGTAGACACCTACAAAGCATGGTTGATCACCCGTCAGCTGGGCGAGCCCTTCCCTGGGGATGATTTCATGGCTCTGAACAGGCTTGCCTCTTCTCTGCAGCGTGAAGTCATGCCATAGGCACAGCACCGGGGGCCAGGAGGCTGGGGTGAGATCCATGTGGTATCTGGTATCTGTCATCTTCTATAGCACTTACGTTCTTCCCGCGGAGATGGCAGAAGCCAGCGTTTTTGTCTCTCATTTAATCCATCTGGCCTCTCCATGTTGTGTGTGTCTGTCTGGATCAAGATGGAGCTTTGTATTCTGGGACCCATTATCTCTGAGGCCCTACCTGTGTTTGACAGGTCAGGGCATCTACAATCTGCTGCTGCTTCTATGCAAATGGCCTCTGCAGCCTGTCTCTCAGCACGTGGCTGCTGCATCTCCCAGAATGAGTTGCTCACAGTAGCTACCAAAATCACATGCAATAACACCATTTTGTTTCTTTTTAAAAATGCATAGTCCAGTTTTTTTCATAATTAAAATGTTGCCAGATATCTTAAATCCTGTTCCTAATTTGCTAACAGCTTTTTGGGGGAGTTGTAGAGAGGAAACAGAAGATGCAAGTATCTCCTATTAATTGTGGATACTGATTTAAAAATACATCAAATTGATAACTTAAAAAAAAACGTTATGGCTTCAAAGCATAGAGGCACTGCTTTGGGGTAGTTTGGCATATTCTTGCATAGCACTGTTAGAAGATAAAAGAAAGCATTGCTTTAAAACATGCAAATTTTAGGTTTGAAGTAGGAGAATTGAAGGAACTAAACTTATATTAGTAAGGGGAATTTTGTTTTTAGCATATTTCATTTGATAGCTCAGATTTTCTACTTCCTATCCTTCTGCCCCCTTCTAGTCATCATATATTTGAGCAAAAATAATGCAAGCTGTTTAATTTTATCATAACCAGAACCTATTAAATTACAGCAAATCTACTGTGAAAGAATTCAGGATATGGATTTCAAAGTCCAAGTACCTTGTAAACTATTTCCTTTATTTAATCCATTTTAGTGGCTAATTGGATGTTAGTCTATAAAATATTTGTTTTGAAATGGTAGAAAAAAGAATAATGGATCCTGTAATTTTATACCAATTTGTGTACTTAAATCTACAGTTTAAGGAAAGGAGCTTTGGTTAATTCTTAGGAAATTTCTGAGTGAGGTATAGGGGTGTATATGTGAAGCAGCTAAAGTCTTCCCTA